AGGGGCTGCAGGGCAGTTAGAGTGGCTAGCTGGGTGTGGGCCACAGCAGTTGGCGCATGAAGCTTTATGGGAGCACCCCTCTCCGTACTGTCCCTGGTGCCTGTCTGTGCGGTTGCCGCAGTGGACGCAGCGGGCTGTCCGAGTACATCGAGCCGCGTTGCAGTAGCCCTGACAGCCTGGGTTGTGTCGCTGAATAGCAGGGTGCTTGTTAATCTCTTTTGAGAACTGGCTAGTGCCAAAGAGCCTAAACGCCCGGACTGGCTCCTTGTAGGAGACGATCCAGGTAGTAAGGCCTTGCTTGTTGGCTCCATGACGTGAGGGTCTGCAGCTAGCTGGCTGCTTTCTATCCAAGATGGGTAAACCAACCGTACCTATGGTTGATTTAGGGTTGCAAATTTGTTAGGGACTAGGGCTACAGGTTTTGCGCAGATATCTTATCACAGGGTACAGTTAGTTTTCCTCCTAACTATAGTTATTCTGCAACAACAGACTTAATCTGCTTTAAACTTAGACATATAATTTGTAGTACTAACCTGCATTACCTGTGCAAGTTGTAGCAAAATCAGCTGCGTAGTTAATAGGGGTAGGGTTTAATGTTCATAGTTAGGGTTGCGCTAGCGCGGACAATAACTGCAGCAGAACGCAGAACAACAACACTGTAACACTAACGTGTTTTACAAGCGAGCGCCGCGTACAAGCAAGCGCTGCACCCTAGCCAAGATAAGGGCGCAGGGAGGACACCAAACCGCGGCAAAAGAGGCTTAGCGTTAGGGTTTGACCCCTTTTAAGCGATCTGCTTTGGTGGTCCCCTGCGTTACCCTATCCTATGGCAGCAAGTCAACTCAGCCCTGAGTTGCGTTAGGGGTTTGTTTTAGTTAGGGACAAGATATCCCAGTGCTAGCGTATTTTTAAGCATATAGGCCTAGTTGTGTTATACTTAAGAGCTAGTTTTGATAGGTTCCTATAGGCCAATCTTTCTATCCAAGATAGGTAAACCAACCATACCTATGGTTGATTTAGGGTTGCAAATTTGTTAGGGACTAGGGCTACAGGTTTTGCGCAGATATCTTATTACAGGGTACAGTTAGTTTTCCTCCTAACTACAGTTATTCTATAATAATAGACTTAATCTACTTTAAACTTAGACATATAATTTATAGCACTAACCTGCATTACCTGTGTAAGTTATAGCAAAATTAGCTGCGTGGTTAATAGGGGTAGGGTTTAATATTCATGGTTAGGGTTGCGCTAGCGCAGACAATAACTACAGCAGAACGCAGAACAACAACACTGTAGTTAACACTAATAGAAGAAGGTAACACATGAAATGCACAGCACAGAGCAATTGATTACAGCACGCTATGTGCCTGCAAAAGGCTTAAAGAGCTCAAGTAGGGTAAGCTGGCGCATTGCACGGGCGGTGGCAGGGCTCTTTGCAGTCCTTTGGGAGGGCGCAGGCTCCACGCTATCGTCGTTGCCATCTCCACTCTCTTCCAGCTCGCTGTCTTCTATCTCTTCCACCTCCGTCGCAGGCGCCGGCGCGCTTGCCTCAATTGAGAGCGTTGCTTTTTCGCTAATAGAGCCGCCAGAGATGCCCTCTGAGCCCAGCCACTCGTCTAATGCTCTGCTCGCCTTGTGAGCACCAGGGTTTACCTTGACTACGAGCTCCAGCCAGATGTGCCAGTATTGGATGCGAAGATCGTTCTCCACCCACGAGTTGGTGATGACATCGTGCGGCATCAGACAGAGCATGCCCCAGCCCAGCTGCTTGGCTGCTTCGTACCAGCGAAGCGCCTGGTGCAGCCGCCTCTATCCAAGATGGGTAAACCAACCGTACCTATGGTTGATTTAGGGTTGCAAATTTGTTAGGGACTAGGGCTACAGGTTTTGCGTGGATATCTCATCACAGGGTACAGTTAGTTTTCCTCCTAACTATAGTTATTCTGCAACAACAGACTTAATCTGCTTTAAACTTAGACATAACGTAGATTATCACCGAGCCGGCCATATCACCGAACCGGCCACTTTCTCTTGGCACGACCACCTTTTACCCCAACACAACATGCCTTAACAACAACAACTTCAGAATACTACTAGAGAAGGCAGAGTTATCCTTGCTATCTAGGCCTTCTACGCTGGCTAATTTCGCAGTATCCGCAGTGCTGCTAGAGCGTTGAACGTACCTTATTAGTGGGTCTCTGATTGCCTTTGCAATATCACGTTTTGACTAGACGTACGCGCTAATTGCCAGAAACTTACTATACTAGAGGAGCAGACAATTATCCAGTATATACTTAACCTTAATTCGCAAGGATTTGCGCCCTAGCTATGTGAGGTGGCAGATATGGCTGATAAGATACTTAGTGTGCGTGGTGAAGAGCCTGTTGGCAAACTATGGGCTAGCAGGCTTGTGACGCGTTCAGACGAGCTCAAAATGGCCTTCAATTGAGCCAAGGATAGACAGAGGATACTACAGGAAGATCCTGAGATAATTAGCGCGTGGTTTAAGCTGGTGGAGGATACTTAAGTTAAGTATGGTGTTTGCAACAACGACGTGCACAACTTTGATGAAACTGGGTTCCAGATGGGCGTTGCTTTGTCTTCAAAGGTTGTAACAGGCTCAGAGAGACGTGCTCGGCCAGAGCTTGTTCAGCCAGGTGATCGCGAGTGGGTTACCGTTATCCAGAGCATCTGCGCCGCTGGGTATGCAACCCCGCCTTTCATCATCTACAAAGGACGCGTCCACATCTCTGCCTGGTATGAGGAGACAGATATACCCCACGATTAGAAGCTCTCAGTCTCTAAGAACAGTTGGACAAACAACGCGCTTGGCCTTAAGTAGTTAAAGCACTTTAACACGCATACAAAGACGCGTCAGGTGGGAGTGTACAGGCTGCTCATCTTGGACGGCCATGAGAGCCATCTCAACCAGGAGTTCAAGGACTATTGCCTAGAGAACCAAATCCTCACTCTCTGCATGCCACCTCACTCGTCGCACATCCTCCAGCCACTTGACGTGGTCTGTTTCTCGCCGTTGAAGCGCAAGTACTCCTAACGCGTTTGAGACTTGGCACGCCAACGCGTCTTCCACATTAACAAGGAAGGCTTCCTACTAGCCTTTAGGGACGCGTTCCTTGATGTGTTTACAAAGGTTAACTGCTAAAAGGCCTTTGAGGCATCAGGGCTTGTTCCTACTAACGCGCAGGTGGTGTTAGATCGCCTTGAAGTGCGGCTGCATACCCCACCAGCAGTACCTCTACCCGAAACGCCGTGGCAATCTAAGACGCTGAGCAATACACACGAGTTTGGGTCTCAATCCAAGCTTGTAAGCGACTCCTTCTGACGATCGCCAAGTGCAGCGCAAGAGGGGTTCTTAAAGCTTGTAAAAGGGGCTGAAGAGATGCTGCACGAAAATGTCCTTATCAAGGCCCGTGTGCGAGAGCTTGAAGAGCAATTAGCAGTAATGACTAAGAGAAAATTGCGTAAGAGAAAGCAGATTCAGCATGGTGGCACACTTGAGTATGGCCCAGCAGCATCGCGGGTAGCTGCTGAGGC